GAAAATTCGTAAAGTAATTACACTATATAGTGAGAACCCTATATAATTGATTGGTAATAAATTTAAAAATAAATATGTATGATGGGAGGAAGATATGAGACAAAGATATGGAAGATATACCGCGCTGTTTTCAAAAAAAAAACATAATAAAAGCAGAAGAATGATGACGACCACAAAAGATCCACTGCAGGATACCTTCTAAATAAATAAAATAAATATAACTCACACACTCATAGCGCCGCACTAGGGAAACCTTGTATACTGGATGCCATGGTCACACTCAACCACTAATTATACCCAAACTCACTTGAGAAACAAATTTAGGCCACAAATGTTTCTCCCGGCTTAGAAATCGCGCCCGGGACCTCTGCGTGTCAGAGCAGCATGGTAACCGTTCGGCCACAGAGGCAGTTCTGATCTCGTTGAGTAAAGAAATATGTTTTGAAAAAAACGCTGCTCAATTTGCAGTCTGGTTGGGGACCACACTAAATCTGAATCAGTAGATTAACACAGGAAATGCTATTGCAATTCATATTTTTAGATAAATAAAAATCGGTTTCGTTGACATCTTACAAAAGAAAGGTTTGACTCGTACCTTGTAATTCGAAACTAAAAGATATTTATTCGTATCATCAAACAAAAACTCATGTCTACCAACTTAACTGCAGTTTATCTAACTCGACAGGTGCATCAGTAAGCCAAACAACTGTCACTTAACATCGACATTTAACGTGCGTTACAATCTACTATTTATGGAGTAACGCGCCTGGTGACTTTGACGAAGTTACAACACTATATAATAGATTGTAGTTTGCTTCTTTTGGATTGGAATTTTGTTTGAAACCCCTGATGCAAAAAGAGGGGTATTATAATTTTTAAGAATTTGTCTGCGTTATCTGTGTATCTGTGAGTGGCGTCATAGTTCCCAGATAAATGGATTAATTTCAAAGCGATTTTAATTTTAATTTAGAGATTAATTTAATTGGGATAGTTCTTGCCTATGTTTCATGAACATCTTTTATATAATATCAAGTGACGAGACGAACAAGTCGTGCGTCTGATGGTAAGCTTCACTGTCCGTAACAATTACAGTGCCACTCAGAGCTTTAAATTGCAAAGATCTGAGAGGCACTACCATTGCGCCCGTCACTCTGAGACATAGGTTGACAAGTCCCATGTGCTTATAATTTTACCAGCACCCTTAACCCTTCAAAACCGGAACACAGTAATGCTGACATTACTGCTTGGCGGCAGAAATAGGTAAGGTAGCAGCACTTCCCTGGACGAACTCTTTCACAAGGAGCTCTCCTGCTACTAACATTTATTAAACTTTCTCAGTCGGTGTGGGGATCTCAAACATAAAAACAATATTTATTTTATTTCCACTTGTCCCATTAGCGGACTTTACACAGACGCTCTGTCGCACGTGATACAGCAGGATGGCTGGACCAAATGAGATATACAAATCAAACTGTGTCTCATTATTTACTACCTATATTCTACTATTTAGTACCTATACTGACATATTTTCTACCTTTGCGCTAACGGAAATTTTAAAGAAATAAAGTGGCCAGCCATTCTGACGGCAGGTTGGCTGGACCACTACGTTTTCATGGTTCTAGCAGTATATAATATACTTTTTTTATATAACTATGTACTACCTAATTTGTACCTAAGCATACTTTTTTCATTATTTTAGGCAGCTTCTATAAAAAATTATTTAAAAAAATTAAATAAATTTGCAAAAAGTATCTTCTAAAAAAAAACAGTTTATCGTCTCCGTGTAATTTAATTATAATTGGTTCGCATTCCTTAATACTTACAAATAGAATTAACATTTGTAGCAGTGAATTCAACTAGTAATTAATGTATTAATTGTTATAAAATATTGCTCGCAAAGATAATCCAGAAACCATTGTTGGCATAGTCTAAGCGCCTGCAAAGGTATTGTTAGCAATTAATTACACGAAGAAGATAAACTGTCTTTTTAACCGACCTCAAAAAAAGGAGGAGGTTCTCAATTCGTCTGTATGTTTTTTTTTGTTTGTATGTTACGCGATAGCTCCGCCGTTTGTGAACCAATTTTGATGATTCTTTTTTTGTTGGAAAGAAGGTACCTCATATGTGGTCCCATTTAAATTTCAAGAAAATATTCCACCTCTAAGGGTGGCAAACTAGGGGATGAATGACTTTTGAGGTCGGTTTTTTTAACCGGAGGATAGGTTATTAGAAGATAACTTTTGCAAAGACGTTTTTTTTTTGTAAAATTTTTATAAAAGCTTCCAAGAACTTTTTGAAGTTTTATGTCTTTTTTTAATTTAAATTTAAGTAAAATGTTTTCACATTTTTTTTAAAGCATTGATGCTTGAAATCTTTTCGACGAGGAAAAACTTTCATAGATCTTTCTTAATTGGCACTACGGCAGAACAGTCGTTAAAAACCAAAAGTAAAGATCTGCAACAAGTTCATAGAAGTATTCGTAAGATCTGCTGCTGATTCGTTCCGTGGCTCAGTTGGACGCTGGTTACAATCCAGCGAGATCGAAGGAATATTTCTTAGTGTTCTATCTTTGTATTAATAATTATAACAAACTAACTTAAGACTCCATGTAATGAAAACTTTGCTATTCGTCTTTATTATTCCAAACAACAAAACTCATCTTTAATTTACAAAAACACGATTCAATCTTCAGTGTTGTTGGAACATTTAATCAAATCAAATGCATTATGTCGAGTACTTGATTGAAGTGTGTGTTGCAAGAGCTGCATGTTTATCGTCACAACAGCAAGCGTCGGAGTCCCTCACTTAGGGCTTCGCTATTTAACTGAGTGAATGGAGATTTATGGGTGGTCTTATGCAATTGTCGTCTTCAAATTAGAAATTATTTGTGTAGTACAACGATTAGTCAACTTAGTTTACTTTGGTAGCTTTATTTGTTTATAGCCGATTTCAAAGAAACGAGGAGGTTCACAATTCGACTGTTTTTTTGTGTGTAATGTTACGCGGTTAACATTTGTGAACCGATTTCGGTGATTCTTTTTTGTTGGAAAGAGGGTGCCTCAGTAGTAGTCTCATTCAAATTCGAAGAAAATATTCCACCTCTAAGAGTATCAAATTAGGGAATGAATCCTGTTTATTGGATTTCACCCACTTTTTTTCAAACTTGACAAATAGGTGTGATTCCAAATTTCTGAGGTCGGCTTTTTCTTTCATAAAAAAATTATCTTGGATAGTTATCAAAAGTTGTGTACATTATTTTGAACATTGATATTATATGTATTTTTTAAATAAACAGACCGCCATATATTCTGTCGGGTTTGACCATCATGGTTACGGCTCTGAGGAACTCAAAGTCTAAAGAAAATGTCACTAAAATTATATCTCGTTTTAATCGATTGTATTCAAAACATAACTGATGTTTAATAATTTCGCCCAAATCAAGAATTGACAAAACACTTTTGATTATTTAAGTAATTTCAACATTGTTATAATGTCGAGCGATGATGGGTAGACTGTTATGCTCACTGACCGCAAGATTCTAATAAATCTGTTTTAACCCTTCGTATATAAGATCACGGAACGCCACGTGTGCCGACATACTTGCTCCATCCCATCTCCAGCACACCAGCAAGAGGGCTGGCGGAAAGAATAAAAAGTAATAAGTACCAGGACCTCGGCTCCGACTACCTATTTATAGGGTTTGGAGTCGCCACCCTTGGGGTCCCGGTGCCCTTCATCAGTACTAAATTTTATCCGAAAACTAATAAACTGTCTGAGAATCCCGAGTACCGGCAGCAACCTTGCCACACACGCATTAGCATAACCATACAAAAGAGGAACGCTGCCAGCATCTTGGGCACCTTGCCGCGGGGACCCAATTTTATTCATATAATTTAATCCTAGTCTTAATTTCTAGTATTTAAGCTTATAATGTACCTTATTGTACCTTATCTGTGTATTATGAAAATAAAATAATCTCAGTACAGGGTACTAAAAAAACCGACCTCAAAAGTCATTCGTCCCCTAGTGTGCCCTGAGAGAGGGGATATTTTCTTCAAATGGGACCACGAGGTGTCCTCTCTCCAACAAAAAAACAATTATCAAAATTGCTTCATAAATGTTAAAGATGAATTGAGAAAAAACCTCCACCTTTTTCAAAGTCGGTTAATAATAATACCATTAAACAGTAACATCAAAGATCATTGATTTTAACTGCTAAAACATTACCTCTTTACCATCGTTCCATTTGAATGTCAATTTTGCAGGTGCGTCAAAATCACGCCTGTTTTGCAATCGTCTATATATAAATAAAAGCCATATATAAGCCCAGATGTGAACACACAGACTTAATCGGAGATGTCCATCTCGATAATCATAACATCATCAACAAGCTTTTAAATGAACTCGCATTCGTCAACTCATCGCAGTGTATTTATTTGAATGCGCTTGCGCACGTTCTCGTGTTATTTCAATTCATGTTGTGAAGCTTATTGAGAAAACACTATGGGAGAGGTAAATATTAAAGTACCGCATTTATTTAATAACATTAAAGTTAAATAAAGTTTATACGATATTAACTGCACCTACGAGCAATGGATGAACCAATAAACTCCACTACCACTATGGTCACACTTTACAAAAAGAATTGATTCAATATTTTTAGTAAATAAGTGTACCTACTGAAGGTTTAGTATCCTTACTGAAGTCATCAATCTACTTATTGTGTGCCTACTGAGGGTGTCGGTCTACTTACTGAAGTTGTCAGTCTACTGACAGTAGTTGTCGGTGAAGTTGTCAGTGTACTTATTGAAATTTTCAGGCAACTTATGTAAGTTGTCAGTTTACCTGCTGAAAGTGTCAGTCTACTTACTGAAGCTGACCGTCTACTTACTGAAACTGTAAACCCACTAACTGAAGTTCTCAAAATACTTACTGAAGCTTCAAAGCCATTGCGGTAAAAGTTGTGAAACAAAATTCTTGATAGTATTCTTTTATTTCAGGTCTCCGGACACCGCAGCAGGCACAGAAGACAAGGTGCGGGTCTGTACCTACCAGCATCATATATAATTCCCGGTGGAGAGGGGAGTGGAGCGTGGGGAGAATGGGGGGAGACATCTCCATGCTCACGCACCTGTGGCGGCGGTGTCGCCAGCCAAAAAAGAATATGTCTTGTATTTGGGTGAGTTGTAAGAAATACAATACGATTAGAACCATAACTTCGCACCCTTGTAATAAGGCCACATTGGCACAATTATTCACGTCCTTCCTTGAAATGGCACAGAGTCATAGTTATTATAGGCCTTAGTTAGAGTGAAAGAGAAGGCAAAGAAAGGCCCAAGAGGGCTCTATGCTTGTGTACTTATATCTAATGCCTTAAAAACAGTTTAAGTGGAGTTGCGAGTTTTACATAATGATAAATAAGCACGTCCTCTCGCTTCGAGAATTTTGATTAAATTGACGACGGAACGAATCAACGTAAAAATATTGAAGGAAAAAGAATTCGAGAACGATTCAAAATTTTAAAAGTGAGTGACCAGGAACCAGTAAAAAGGGTGTTAAAAAGGTGGGATGACGACGAAGGAGGTCGCATCGTCACACCCTTACTGAATTTGAGTTTTCTTGATTTCTAGCTCAGACGGGCAACCCCAGTGTTCTGGTGGAGACACAAAGTACTTTTCCTGCCAAACGCAGGACTGCCCCGACGGCTCCCCGGACTTCCGACAACAACAATGCTCTGAACACGACGGCGAAAACTTTAGAGGACACACATACACGTATGTAAAAATATGCATTATTGGCTCTTGAAACATTCGAATCTCCGTCGAAAATTTTATTTTTTGATGGCTAACAAGCATGGTTGATTGCGTACCATTTTTCAAAGGCCACATTTCGTAGCTATTCGAGTTTCACGGAATCATTGAATTATTACCATCCGTTATATATAGAATGTCAATGCGCAATCTTAACCGAATATTCACCTTATATATGCACTTAAGTAAGTAAGAGTACTTATAATTACAGGAGTAAACAGATGAACTAAAAAATTATCAATTAATGTACGAAAAAACTTTGCATACAATTTTATCACTTCCGTTGTCCTGATTTTTTTCGATACAATGCATTTCATTGTCCATCCTTGCAGGGAACTGAGACAATCGACTACAAAAATTTGACTGTGCCAATATTGTTTTTACAAAAAAGACGCTACGATTGCTAAGACAGTTTCCTTGTATTTGTACATAACAATGGTTTCGGATATTCCCATACAGTTCTACTTAAAAAAACACAAGTTTCGAACTTGAAACTTTAGTAAATAGTACGCGTGAAATTGTTTTTGATGACCTCTGTGGTTTGCATTGTGGGCGATGTTTGATTCCCGGTAGGACCAATTTGGGAAATTTACTTTTGTCATTTGGTTCTGGTCTGAGTGTTCTGGGAAGTGCTCCGGAGTGAATTCCGTTACTCTGGTACTCATAGTACAATTCCCTAGTTTAAGACCAGGCAATTGGTGTGGCTGTCTAATATACCTTTGATTTACACATTAAAAATTCTAATTATATATATGTATATATTTATAAATAGATAATTTCCTCCGATGCCGTAATCTGGGGCATCGTGTCCCGAAGGCTGGCAGCATTCCCCTTTGAATAGCTAAAATTTTCTTTGGTAGAAATAACTGCCAGGCTTGTGGTCACTGGAGGTTTCTACGAGGAGATCCGGCAACTCGTTCGCTAGAAGTTTTGCCTGTGGCCTCAGGCTTCAACCCGCAAAAGACACAAAGCGGTTGTCTGGTGTACAGGCTATGCCACACGGAGGGAAAGCATCTTAAGTACCGTAGATAGAAAATTTTACTCTTCATTTTGATTTTAAAAACAATTCGAATTGCATTCTTAAAGTTTTTTAAATATCGCCTGTCTGAACCGGGATTCAACCCCGCAAAATGTTTAAAAAAAACCTGTAATTTTAGTATACTGATTAAAAGCGCCAATCATAAGGATTTTTTTCTTCCAAATAACATGGCCTCAAATAAAAGGAAGATCGTGAAATTTCACATTCAGTTTGAAATTTTCTCCATGAAAATGAACCTGTAAAAGATTTACTTTACAGGAACCGGTATGACAGTGTGCAGGAGTTATATACTGAATTTAGATGTATTATTTTACAAGTTCACCATAAAAAGATAAAAAAATCAACAGGAAGCGAAATTATCAAAAGATCATAATATCATTTGATAACTTAAATGATATTTCATTGTAAGTTGCAGTTAAATGCACCTAATTATTTTAATTAAATGTGAAATTTCATGGTCTTCCTTTTTTTTAAGATGACATGTGTTCTAAAAGAAAAAAAATAGTTATGATTGAAGCTTTCACTCTGTATAGTAAAATTACAGAGGTTTATTTCACATTTGGCGGGTGCGATTCTCGGTTCAAACAGACGATTATTTAAAAATGAATTTTAAATAATCGTCTTTTGAATTTTTGAATGCCATTGACTTATAAATAAATGGACGACGGGTCTAATACAAAAACCACGAAAAAAATGTCCCAAGTCAACCTATTTAAAGGTAGTGACATGTAAAGGAATATGAAAAATCTAAATCGTTGAATTTAAATTGTAATGTCATCGCAATACTGTCTAATTTTGCTTGCTTCGCTGTCAGTCGAACAAACGAAGACTAAAGCGTGAATGACGCTCTGTATACGATTTTAACGCCCTATAAGTTCGGACACTTTTTTGGCGCGGACCCGACGTCCATATAATTGTAAGTCAATGTTGAATGCAGTTCGAATTAGGTATTCCTTCCATTTGGCATAGCCGTGTGACGCCCTGAATATTCCTTTGATCATAAATATTAATTATATTATTATCATTTCAATTAACGATTTTTGTCTTAATTAATTAATTACCAATGTTCATTTAACTACCATACCTTACCTGTTAATCGCACTTCCATAATTTAAAACTCAGACTTTGGTACACAGATAATAAAGTAAACGTGTACCTGCCCATACAGGTGGGTGCCGTATACAAAAGCTCCGAACCCCTGTGAATTGAACTGCATGCCGAAAGGGGGCAGGTTCTACTACCGGCACAAGGAGAAGGTGGTGGACGGCACCAGATGTAACGACGAGTCATACGACGTCTGCGTGGACGGCACTTGTCAGGTGAGATACGAACAATAACAATATCTCAAATTTCGTGGGATCGTTGACTCCCAGAATCTCGCAGTTTTAAATTTTGTCGAGCGTTGTTTTACATTACTTGCGACAAGGTGCACAGGTTGTCACTCGGTTGCGGGACACAGAGGGAAAGTACTTAAAATATTGTTTATAGCATACTTAGTAGCAGGTGCATTAGATATTTAGTAGCAGTAGAGCTCCTTGTGAAAGAGTTCGTCCAGGGAAGTACTGCCACCTTATTATTTCTGCCGCCAAGCAGTAATGTCAGCATTATTATGTTCCGGTTTTAAAGAGTAAGTGTGCTGGATGAAATTACAGACACAATGGACTTGTCATGTCATGTCTCAGGGTGACGGATGCACAGTGGCAGTGCCCCTTAGATTTTTGCGATTTAACGCTCTGAGTGGCGCTGCAACTGTTATGGACAGGCATGTAGCTTACCATCAGGCGCACGACTTGTTCGTCCCGTCACTAGATATTATAAAAAAAAACTAGATAGATTATAGAGAAATTATTTTATATCTAAATGTAAGTATGTTTTTATGATACTAAGTGATAGGATGAACAAGTCATGCGTCTCTGTCGGTAAGCGACACGCCTGTCCATAACAGTTCCAGTGCCGCTTAGAGCTTTAAATCGCAAAGTTCTGAGGCACACTGCCAATGTGTCCGTTACCTTGGGACTTAAGTTGAAAAATTCCTTGTAATTTACACTTACCCTTCAACACCGAAACGCAGTAACGCTTACATTACTGCTTGGCGACATAAATAGGTAAGGTAGCAGTACTTCCCTGTACGAACTCTACTGCCTTCAAAGATTTTTCAAAAGTTTTGTGTCGTTTGGGAATCGAACGGAACAAATGTAAAAACGTCTTTTAAGTTAAAACCTTTCGATCAGCATCATAAAAATACTGTATGTTTATTTTCACATTTGTTTGGTTCGATTCCCAGATGAGGTAAGCGGTATTACTTATTTTATTGGCTAAGGAATGGAAACTGACAATTTATGAATCACCAATGTGTTAGTTATACCATTCTTTATTTACACACGTACATTAACTTTATTGCGCCATAAGTAACATTCTGCCTCTAGTTTTGCTTTGATAAAGTGTTATTGTTAGTGACTTGACACGTTAAATTTTGTAATAATTATAATAAATTTATCTTTAACATTATGGAAGAGGCTAATTTAAAATAATTACTCAAAATTATAATGAAGAATAGTTTATTTTAAGCAGTAAAAATAAATTAGTAAAACAAGATTTAAACAGGTTTTCGTGTTTTAACTAATTGCGTACCGTTGAATGAAAGCCTGTATTTAATAGTTGGAATAAACATATTGGTGAAAATAGACCTTAGTATGCTGTTACCCGCACAGCGCAGAAGCCCTGGTAACAACAAAAAGGAACGAGTTAAGAAAATCCTTTATAAAGTACATCAAAGATCATATCTTTGGATAATGTACAGACAGATACCTCTTCTATATTAAGGTTACTGAATTACTTCTGGTACATTTGAAAATTAAACGTCAATGAAATCAGAACGTTTATTCTATCAGAGCCCCGGGAGTGTTGCCACATGGCAGATGAAAATTACCACCAAAATTAGCTCAATATTTAGTAGCAGTAGAGCTCCTTGTGAAAGAGTTGGTCCAAATACTGCCACTTAACCTATTTCTGCCGCCAAGCAGTAATGTGAGCATTACTGTGTTCCGGTTTTTTAAGGGTACGGATACTAGCGAAATTAGAGGCACATGGGACTTGCCGCTGTTTCAGGGCGCAGTGGCATCGCGCCTCAGACCTTTGAGGTTTAAAGTTAAAAAGTTGAGGTATCGCTTATCACCAGACGCGCAACTTGTTCGTCTCGTTACAACTATTATACTTCTCTTGAGGTCAGAACACGTAATAGAAGGAAGATTAAAACTAGACCTTGAATATCCCCAACATAATAAGGAACGTGTAAGTAACAGTCAAATAATGTAAAATATAATTTTATTGAACATTTCTTCGCAGCATGTCGGCTGTGATATGATGCTGGGTTCTAATGCTCGCGAGGACAAATGCCGCGAGTGCCGCGGAAACAACACTAACTGCCACACTGTCAAGTCCACCATCCCTCCCGAACACGAACTAAGACAAGGTAAGTAATGGTGGCACTTGACATGGCTATTTGCGTATTTGATACATTTGTCAAACAATCACCCTGTGCAGATAGCATGTGTGACGAGATATTTGCCTTGTTTGCCTATTCGACAAATACAGCAAATACCAAACTCGTGTTACCGCGCGCTGATTTCTCGAGACACGTCAAAGGAGCCATATTCATTTTTTTATATATTTGTCAGGGTCTGCATGTTTATATATACGTCAAATATTGTCAATTGGTGTCATAAAAAATACCCTTCGTACACATTGACAATTTCAGAGCGATCTGGATGGAGTTGTTCCGATTTGTTTTAAAGAACAAAATCATCGGACAAAATGATTTTTTTTTCGAATAGACGATATATTTTGCATTTTACTTGAGCCCATTTGTTATTGACGACATAGAACAAAATGGTAATCAATTTTTTCCAAAAACTGTCCTAGTTATGTTTAATACAAAGATCTCAGATGTGACTGTCACATTGATGTTGCACAAAGAATATTAGGTTCTAGTTTCTTGTATAGAACAATTTGGTAAAATATTATTACTCTTTGGAACCAAGCCAAAAATTGTCTCGTTTTATCAGGTAACGTCGTGTTCTATAGGACGAATGGGAACTACTCCATAATCAAATTTTTATATTTTTAAAATTTTTAAACCTATTTAAAGGGGAATATGTACGCTCTGTTCTATAATGGGAAGATTATCAACTTGTATGTATTTTATTTAGTAGCAAATAATAAACTGAACAATTTTTTGTAGGTTACAACGATATTTTAATAATACCGCAAGGAGCAACCAGTATTTACATCGCCGAAGTAAGGGATTCAAACAACTATCTCGGTAAGTATTGATCAGGCAAAAGCAGTAATGGTGCAACCCCCGGTTTGGAATACAGTTGCTGGTTAATAATATCAATAAACTTGTGAAGTATTAAAAAAAAATATGAATGTTGTAAAAAGACCATTACATTCAATGAAATAAATAAAACTACACGTGTGCTTCTGTCACGAAGATTTTTCAACACACATCTTCAGTATACATCTATTTTATTTCGATTTCTGAACAATTTGTTTCGCAATTAACAAATCTATATAATAATATACATAACATTTAAATAACAATAAAATTAAATTAATATTTTTGTATCCATAGGTGTAATACCCCTATCGCTTGCATTAGTATTAGATATAACTAGTTGGTAACTCCATTAATACTACATATGTGTGCACGCCCCCCTCTCGCCGTGTACGGAAGCACACATTGGCATAATAATGAAAGGCGCGTGAGACGACCAGCGCTATGCAACGCTACTGCATCGCGAAATTATGCGAAAGTGTGCGTCTGTACACGGTACGCGGCGGAAGCGCACACATACAAACGCGCTGCTATATTTGTATGAAGTTACCATATTTCTTGTCTTATTATACTATATATGCTGATGCCGTTCTGTCAGCCGTGACCCTAGCTTCATTTATAATAATTATTGACTAACTTTATATTGAATCGATATTTAGTATCGGAGTAGAGGTGACGCTTTATAACGAAAAAAACGAATAAGTTCGTTTAAATTTAGCTTAGAGTAAATTAAATTACTCTCTCCCTCTCCCTCTCCCTCTCCCTCTCCCTCTCCCTCTCCCTCTCTCTCTCTCTCTCTCTCTCTCTCTCTCTCTCTCTCTCTCTCTCTCTCTCTCTCCCCCTCACCCTCTCCCTCTCTCTCTCTCTCTCTCCCTTTCTCTCTCTCTCTCGCCAACTTATGTTTAGGGTGTACGGTACATTTTATAAATGTTGTATAAAGTTAGATGCTGATTTCGAATTAAATGTTATTATGTAACTTTTGTTTGTAACTTTTCTTAAAATCTTTCATAAACATATATTAATTACAGCACTAAGATCGAAGCAAAGCAACGTGTATTATCTCAACGGCGACTACCATATCGACTTCCCACGCACTCTAGAGATCGCTGGTGCTCTCTGGCACTACGAACGTAGTCAGCAAGGCTTCGCGGCTCCTGACGTCCTCCGGTGTCAGGGACCTACTAATGAGCCTTTGTACCTTTCCGTAAGTATAACAAATTCGTTACAAAGCGGTAGTGGTACGATAGTGGAAAGATTGCGTCTCAATGAAGAGTCGATACTACTTATGCTCGAATTTAAATTTTTTCCCCATGCTAATACGGTTCATTTTGCTTGAGTCGAGTGGCAGGAACACTGGCTTTATTTCAGAATTTATTTTTTTACAAACGGAATCAAAGCCAATTGAAAAATGTATATAGAAGTTGTATCGATCCTTAAGAGGTCTTACATTAATTTATAAAGTAGACATATTAGTGAATATTTAGTAGCAATATATCTCGCCAACAGTGAACAAAAACCGTCAAGATGAAACCTGTGTTGCGGACTGTATCAATAGCGTTCGGGTGCTAATAATAATATATATATATATATATATATATATACGAGTATGTATAATAAGTGAGCAAGAACAAAGGAAAAATGTACTTACAGTTAATTGAAACCAGCAAAGTAAAGGTAAAACAATGACAATAATAAAGAAAAAGGTGCCAAAAACAAGTACATTTAAATTCAAAATTTCAATTTAAAACTAAACTCCCAAAAAGACTGTATCATATACAAAATAATTTCTAGCGTCTGCTGCGATTCACTACAACCTGCATGTCAAACGAGTTGGACAAAGTGTGAAGTTCCCTACCCGCATTTGGTCAGTGCAGGTCACTCTTGCAGCTGTGTGGTAATGGCAAAACCTGAAAAACGTCAAGAATATTTCTCCCGTATACGATTAATAACCTCTCGTTTAAGCCCTATTTTCCACATGTGTAGAGCTTATAATGGCTACTGTACAGACTTCTTTACATTTCATCGGAGTTGTTGAAACGTGTGAGGTTGACGCGGAAAAATTTACACGATATTTAAATATTTGTTTTTTAGAAATAAAATATATTCTAGAATAAGTTCACAGTCCCCTAACTTATTTATCACGGAATACGGGAGAAAAAATTTATCTCTAATAACAATCAAATTAAACTAATTTTTCCGTAGATGAACGTCATTGACCTACCAAACAAAACGTTGTAAAAAATTCAAATTTTGTGAAACTTCGTGATTTTTTTTTTAATAATCAACCGAAGTTTAGTTAATCGTGTTTCGGACGCCATGGTTTTTTACCGGTATCCCCTGTTTTTATTGTCAGTTAAAAAAAATAATTGAAAAAACCGATTTTCCGTATTGACGAAAAACGTCAAAACGTCCATAGTGTATAGTGCCTAAAATATGTAGTTATTTTTGATATAACTGCGGAAAGTTAGTCATTATTCACGAGTCTCGAGGCTTCTTGGCCCGAGCCAGAGGCGAGGGTCAAGACGCGAGACAAGTGAAAATGACAAATCCGCACGTGTATCAAACGACGTTTTTTAATACATTTGCGAAAAAACTACATTGAAAGTAAAATAAAACAGTATTTAAACAAAACTCATTTTCTGCTAGTATATTAAAATAATGAAATACAACCACGGCAACCATTAGTTAAAAGTCTATGGAAATCTAGTTCTAACGTGCTGTTTTTTTTTTATTTTCTGTAATATCGGTCTGTAACCACTTTTCTTATTATGAAGTCCTGTTACTTTTGTTTAAACTTCTTTAGGAACCCGTGCACGGTAGTGAGATACAATTTATCTGTAATACATAGAACAAATAAATATATACATAAAAATCTCGCCTGTCACCCATTCAGGTGTAGGCAGAGACTGTGGACCTCCACTCGATACGTTCATTATATAGTATTTGTAAATAAATATAAGTTTTAATGACGAATGACTTATGTACGTCACAAAGCACATAAATATTAAATAAATATACAACTTCTTTAGTTCTGTACTTAAGATTTGAAACAACAGTAAATTAAAAAAAAATGGAAAAGTAAAAAGCACTAGTGCGAAAAATCCAACTTTCCGCACGATTTGTAGTGCGAAAAATACCACGTTTTGAGCAACTGTATTAAAAATGCCTTTATTCTGTAGCTATGCCATAAAAAAATAAAGATAAATAAACCTAATCGGGTAACATTTGGCTCTTCCTTTACGTGCATATCTCTGGGTACCAAAATTTCACTGTACCGTTAACGCGTACCATGTTTACAGCTTCTCCTACAAGATACGAATGTAGGCATCGACTACGAGTACAGCATTCCCACCAGTCTCGCACCACCTCCAAATCAGGAATACAACTGGGTTCATGAAGAGTTCAGTGACTGCACTGCTCCTTGTGGAGGAGGTATGTACCTCCATTCAAAAGAAATTCTAATCGTAATAATGAAATTAGCAAAAGAATTATCATGGAATTAATTTCAAGTAAATAACGTTAATCTATCAAGCAATATCTTCAAAATGTCTGATTTGCTTCAGGGTACCAAACGCGCAATGTAACATGTCGATCTCGCGAAGACCTGGATGTCGTCAGCGATAGCCTTTGCGATGATATCCTGAAACCTGTCACCAACCAGACTTGTAACACGTTCCCTTGTGAAGCGCACTGGGTCGAAGGCCCTTGGAGTCCTTGCTCCAAACCCTGTGGAGAAGGTGGTAGTAGGTCCAGAGAAGTGTACTGTGAAAAGGTTATCACAAATGGGTAAGCCTCTTCTCTGTTGAGGAAAGAGCTTAAATCTGCACAGCGGCTTAATCGTTGCAAAAACTTCTTTCAGTATCTGTGTACTTCTATCAAACCTGTATTTCACTTCTTTTACAATTCTCTCTTTGTCGTACAAAATTACTCATATGTCACGCTTGAATGCACGTCTAGCTTGACACTGGTTTAAATTCAATTCTAGGATGTTTGCAACAAGAAGAGTCCAAAGTGTCCAGCTTCGTGCACCAGAAATGTTTTACCTATCATAATATTTTCAATCTATTGCCTTACCTTTCATACTTTCCTATATTGCTAATAACTTGTTTGAGTAATTTTTTTAGAGAACAAATAATCCAGCTCCATTATTTTAGCGTGACTTTCAGGTATACGTCGAGAGTAGGTGACAAGGAGTGCGAAGCTCTGCCAAAGCCCCCGCTAACTCAAGAGTGCAGTAAGGAAGCTTCATGTCCCAAATGGTTCATAGGAAAATGGAAACCAGTAAGCGTTTACGAACATTATTTTATTTAAGTATTTGATGATATCGTAGAAAGGTACAACAATTAACACGAATTTGTTTTTGTATCAGTGTGACAAACTATGTGGCGAAGGTAAACAGACTCGTGAAGTGGTCTGCCATCAAAAAGATAACGGCCGAGTGGAAGTTTTGACCGACGCAGAATGCTCCGAAGAGAAACCTGCCACTGAGCAGTCTTGCATGCTACATCCTTGCGAAGGAGTTGACTGGGTGCTTACTGATTGGAGCGGGGTAAGTAAAACTTAAAACTGTAAAAGAAAAACTGAAAAGACTGTTCTAAAATTTGTATTCATATTCAGCCGCTATGTTTTTCTTTCCTCAACAAACTTTGTATTCCAGTGCGACAATTGCCTATCCAAAGTACGCACACGCCTGGCGGAATGTTCCACGAAAGACGGCACTGTCGTCAACTCGACATTCTGCTCGTACCACCCTACACCCGTGCTAGAAGAACCCTGCGACAAAACCAAACTGCCCGCTTGTGAAGTTTCATGGTACGCAACACAATGGAGCAATGTGAGTGCCATATACAATTAACAATTACAATCGTCAATAAAAAACGCGACTCGAGATGCCAGAATTTGATCCTCTATTATGAAGAAATTAAGGGAACCCATTCAATACCGAGGAATACTAAAACATAGAATTTTAAAACCTACAGTTTTTAATTCTGGCTTAAGTACTTAACAGTATTATTAATAAACACTAATTAACTTCGATCAGGCATCAGATAATTTATGGAAATGTGTACATTATTTCTTTGATTCCAGTGTTCAGTAGACTGCGGTAAGGGAATTAAATCGCGTAAAGTATTTTGCGGACTTTTCGACGGCTCTGCCGTACTAAAAGTAGCCGACAGCCGTTGCGAAAATGAGACCAAGTACAACGACACGGCTCCTTGTGAAGTTCCACAGGAAGAATGTCCCGATCACTGGCACGCAGGACCTTGGACCGAGGTGAATTGAATAAAAAATTAGTCTTATACCTAAATGTATTATTTTTCAAACAGGTGGTAGCGCTCATTTTGTAGAGAAAAGGTAAATGCCCCGAAGTTTATTGTTCATTAATAGTTTTATCACAGTGATTGATGATAGTCTTTAAAGTACTAACTGAAAACATTGACGTTCCACAGTGTACAAAGAAATGCGGTGGCGGATATCAATACCGTACGGTGCTTTGTCTCAGTGGTAACAAGACAGGCACAAAGTGCAATGGAGAAACTGTCCTCGATCCTACCCAAAACTGTAATACCGGACCTTGTGATGCAGGCGAGTGTTAATAATGTACATAAATAACATAAACGGCAAACTGAAGTAGAATTGTTTGTATGCTTATTCCCAATTACTCTTTCAGACGAAACTTTGCCAGTCGATGCCCATTCTACACCAATAATGGACGATACCGAAGATGAAGATTGCATTGAAGAAGACGAAGAATATCCTGATGAAGGAGTGGATGAATTAGAGCCTGAATCTACGGTAAATTTTACCTTGCAGTTCATGCATAGAAGTTTATATAAGGTTCACTTACTACATGATTTTATTTACAGGATGAGGATATGATGTTCAGTGACAGTCCTTCAACAGGTATCTATTAATCCGTTAAATAATTCGTATTTACTTTTAAATAGGTGATTATAATTTATTCAACTTACAGAAGAAGGTTCAGGCGCAAGTACCACAAGCGAATTTGAGTCAGAGTCAACGGAAACAGGTTCTGGAGAAACAAGCATAACAGAATCTTTATCGACGGAATCTTCAGGCTCTGAACCAACAGAGACTGGTGATACTGAATCAACGATTACGATTGAATCATCTGGCAGCAGCGAATCAGAAGCCACTTCAGAATCTGGTGAAACGACTGAATTGTCTAGTACTTCAGAATCTGGTGCAACTACTGAGTCCTCTGGTACTTCAGAGTCTAGTACAACCTCAGAATCAGGTGGCACTTTAGAATCTGGTGCAACCTCAGAATCATCAGGTACTTCAGAGTCAGGCGGAACTAGTGAATCATCTGGTACTTCAGAATCTAGTGCAACCTCAGAATCAGGTGGAACTACTGAAACTTCCAATACTTCAGAATCCGAAAGTACTACTGAAACGTCAGACACATCAGAATCTGAAGGTTCGACTGTATCTGATGGAAGTACTGAATCTTCTAGCTCTTCTGTATCGGAGGAAACATCATGGTCGTCGACCACTGATATTTCAAGCACGTCAGAATCATCATCGGGATCTACGGATTTAAGTACGGATCTCACGTCGGAATTTACTGACAGTACTACCGAGTCCGTAACTTTGTCAAGCTCTGATGAAACAGGTCAGTAAATTGCTGCTACTTGCTGGCTTAACTCATAATTCAACCTGCCTCTGTGGCCGAACGGTTACCATGCCGGACTGCCACGCAGAGGTCCCAGATTCGATTCCTGGGCCCGGAGAAGTATTTGTATGACCTACATTTATTTCTCTCGTGAGTTTAGGTGTAATTTGTGATTGTCTATGTGTCTGTCCATGGCATCCGTGACATAGGGTTTCCCTAGTGCGGGGCTATGTTGAGAGTGTGCGTTATTATATTATAAGAAAAGAAGAAAAAATTTATTTTATATGGATTTTATAATGGCTATTAGATTGTACAATAGATTGCACAGATCGCCAATTAGCCGCCCTAATACTAGTTACACGTTACAGGCGCGAGCAGTACCGAAGCTAGTAGCACGAGTGAGGCAACAGATGAATCATCTGGAAGCGAAGGTAAAACTAAAAATCCACATTGTAGTTCACTTATGAAACAAATTATAATTAGTTGCCAAAACAAACAAAAAAAGAAATGAATATTCAAAAATACTTTTATTTATAATATGGAAATTCCCATTATAAAGAAGTTAAAACATATTTATTCAGCTTCAACAACTGAAAGTGGAACTGAAAGCACTACTGAAGGGGGATCATCTGGGACAACTGAAACTGGCGAAACGTCGGAGTCTGAAACATCGGTCGGAACAACTGAGTCCGGTGCTACCGAAACCGAAGGTTCTACAGAATTATCAACAACAGAAAGTGAGGGATCCACTGAGTCTGGAGCTACTACCGAGTCAGGAGGTACCACTGAGTCTGAAGGCTCTACTGAATCTGAAGCCACTACTGAATCTGGTTCCACTGAGAGTGAGGGCACTACTGAATCTGGTTCTACTGAAGGTAAAGATATTGAAAATAGATAATGATTGTAAAAATATAGAAGAGTGCGTAATTAACTTATTTTATTCCACAGAAACGGTGTCCGAAGGCTCGTCAACCACCGAACTGTATTCAACTGAAGAATCTTCTGAATCAAGTAAGATCATCTTTTTCTTATGCTGTACCTAAGTAGTGCAAACGGTGCGGTTGTAATAAAAATTGCTTTCATCCCTTGTAGTGTTGCCAATTTGTCCAATATTTCAGCAAGAAATAAAATCCTTGATGTATTGCAACTTAGTCACCAGACAGAGTGAGTTCTCTTAACGTCCTGGGTAAGCGAAGGCTTATCGGACTCCTGCCGACTAAAACCTGACAGTGTTTCGCCTCTTCGCTTTACGGTAGGAACACGAGCACGTAATTGCACACTTTGCAAAACCACCAGTGACCATCTGCATCACTGTGGTAGTTACTACGTTCTACGTACTAGTTAGTACGTTCTTTACTGATGACTTGCCGAAACACAAGCACGTCATCCAGGCTCGAAGAATGTCTCCGTTCGAGTACCCTGTGTCCGCAGGGCATCGGATGCAAATCAAAAAGCAAAAAAATTATAGAGGCATGTGGTGGAAATATGCATGCCGCCTGAGCCGGACCCTCCTAGTTTAGAACCTTGTACTCCCTCATTTGCTTCGTCGTCTCCTTGACGCCATAGCAGCAGGTTGCTCCCAACGACCCTGTACATTCGGTTAGTGAATGATGCGCCATGTCTCTGGCGTGACCATAATGGTGGCACATAAAGTCGGATAGAGTCGTACGGCCTCCACTCCTCTATCCGGTGACTCTGGCTTCCGCTATTCGGTATTCACATTTGCAAACCGTTTGCCCCTGTTTCCAACGCCGTATCATAGAACAATTATGAGAATCAATTAAAATATTCCATATTCCGATCAGTTTTATTACAAATAAATCATATACATTTTTTTATTGTTAATTTATTTTTATTTTAAAGCCAATAGTATACTTTTGAAAAAGATGCAAATTAAATTAAATAACTTCCAAACAATAAAAACTTATAGCGCGTGAAAAAAATTTCACTAAAATACTCGACAACTTGTTATACTTTTATCTCATTATGCCTGTTTGACATATTTTTTTGAGCTTCGTGAACAACGTGTAATAAAAATATGACTAACAATATTACAAGCGTAGACATCCCCAATTGACATGCCAGCTGATAATTCCAGGAGTAACTTAGTTTATGTAATAAACTCTCCAAACGTTATCATCCTAACTTGCAAATTGTGCGTTCTTGTTTAGATCAACAAGCCGTGGACTATTTTGTTCTTAATCGACTTATTACCTCGGTATCCAATTTACCCTACTTATTCAATAAACTTGACATTTCCAGCACCCTGGGACTGGTCATCAACGATTGACTTTTACGCAACAACTAGAAGACCTCGATGCAAGCCGAGGAGATCAAAATGCAAGAAGTCCAAGTTCGGTTGCTGTCCTGATAATATTACACCTGCAGCTGGTCCCTTTGACGAAGGTAGATGATGCAAAATTTGAATAATTTATTAACGTTATAATAATATTTTATTGCAAGGCGTTAAATCAACGAGAATTCGACACCTTCCTCAGGAAGTATTAAAACTATAATAATTCTTGAACAGCTTGTCCAACACCCAAGACCTGCAAAGAATCTAAATTCGGTTGCTGTCCCGACGGTGTCTCTCCTGCCACTGGACCCAAGAATGACGGTTGTCCAGTTGAACCTTGCGAAGATACACTTTTCGGCTGCTGCAAATCTGACAAAAAGACACCTGCAAAGGGTAATGACCAAGAGGGATGTCCACCACCGCCTCCAGCTTGCAAATCATCCAAGTAAGTTATAATATAATATGTAATTATCTTACATAGAAGATTATCTTACATAGAAGAAGTGAACGTTAAGAGTAAGATCTGATAGTAATTTTTCAAAGTTTACTTAACGAAGGAATAATGAAGATTATGTCGAATTTTCCTTTTAGATACGGATGTTGTAAAGATGAAAAGACGCCAGCCACTGGTCGTAAAGGAAAAGGATGTCCGGAGAATGGTAATTGTTATGCATAGAAGTTATTTCCTTGAGAAAAATAAACTTGATTTAGTTGTTTAATCATGATTTAATATCAATCCAGCTCCGGCGAAACGACCAACAGGATGTGCTACGTCTAAATATGGCTGTTGTTACGATAACAAAACAGAAGCTACTGGACCTAATGGGCATGGATGCCCTTGTGGTGCTACCGAATTTGGTTGCTGCTCTGATGGTGTTTCTACTGGTATGAAAAATTATATAATACATGACGCAATTTGAAATTGTATATATCATTATCGTAAGAATGATGAAGAAAAGAAAAAAAATTCTAATAAAAATAATTTATTGTCTAAATATTACGAACAGTTTTGTCGTTTAGCCTCAGGTACAGAAATGGAAGGCTGTGTGATGTCGTGCAATACTTCTGCCTACGGATGTTGTCAAGACGGCGAGACTCCAGCACATGGACCCGATTACGAAGGCTGTTGTCTGCTGTATGCTTATGGCTGCTGTCCAGATAACCACCAGCCTGCTGAAGGGCCACATCTTGAAGGTAACAAAAACGATGACTGTAGAAACTACTTCATATCTTTGGATGCTTCTAATCCTGCTGATGACGCTTATATCAACATGTCGACGTTGTAGGTTGTAGTTGCCAACGTGCCCGCTTTGGATGTTGCCCAGATAACATAACCATCGCCAGAGGTCCTGACAATAAGGGTTGTGGCTGTAAATTTTCTGAGCATGGTTGCTGTCCTGACAGGTAACGAATATATTTCTTAAATTCAGAGTACGACCACGATCTATAATTATTATGAACAGTCAACCACTAAACCTGGCAAAAAGCGATTTAATTCTTCACACTCAAATATTTTCAATTACTCAGGCACACTCCAGCGTTAGGTCCTGAGTTCGAAGGATGTGAGTGCAACACATATCAATTTGGTTGCTGCCCTGATGGCGTTACCATCGCGAAAGGACCGAACTTACAAGGCTGCCAGTGCCAATATTCTAAGTACGGCTGTTGTGGAGACGGCCAAACTTCTGCTACTGGACCTGACCAAGGTGGCTGCGACTGTTCTTCGAGCAAATATGGATGTTGCCCCGATGGTCAAACTGAGGCGAAAGGAGAGAAGTTCTTGGGATGTACTGATGTACCAGAAAACAGACAAGGTAAACGCTGATATAATAACTGAAAAGAGTACTTTTGAACAAATGGTTAAACGTTAATGTTTTTTCACTTTTGTATTGTTATTTTCTATCAATATCTCTTCTATATTTTCTTATAGCCGGTTGCAGCCTGTCGACGGATCGAGGCCCATGCCGCAACTATTCCGTTTACTGGTACTACGACATTGAGTACGGTGGTTGTTCGCGGTTCTGGTATGGTGGTTGTGAGGGCAATGCTAACCGATTCTCCAGTCCCGAGGAATGCGAGGACGTTTGCGTACGACCTTCACCTAAGGGTAAGAATTCCTTGCCTACTATCATAATTAGTATCGGCAGGTTTTCGTTTTGGAGCGTGTCAACGCGTGGTCCAAAATGAAAGTTTAATATTTTATCAGACTTTTAGATATTAATATTGTTGTAATGATTTTCAGACGCTTGCAAGTTACCTAAGGTAAAAGGAGCGTGTCAAGGATATCACCTGCGTTGGTACTTCGATTCAGCGCGTGAACAATGCGGGCAGTTCGTGTTCGGTGGTTGTCTCGGCAACGCTAACAACTTCGAAAGTCGCGAGCTTTGCCAGGAACATTGTGAACCTGCCAGAGGCGACGGTGAGCACAATATCTTCAATTCTTGTTGTTGTTAATACAAATCATTATTGTCACTACACTTAACTGCCATTAAATTAGGTTACATGTACTTGACGGATTGATCTTCTAACAGATTCTGCTCATGTTCTTACAACAGATGTATGCAAACTTCCGATCGAACAAGGATCATGCGCCGGCAACTTTGGACGATGGGGCTTTAACGCGGAGTCTGGTCAATGCGAACAGTTCGTGTGGGGAGGCTGCGAGGGCAATGGCAACCGCTTCGGCTCCGAAGCCGCCTGCAACCTGCGCTGTAATCCACCTGGCGAGCAAAAACGTAAGGACACTCAATGCTGTGTCTAAACATTCCACGGTATGGCATGGATGTCCTCTAGATAAAGGGTATTATTGGCCATAATTCTCAACGAAGGTCTTATTCTGGTCGTGACCTTCGTATTTGTCCATCAGGTTTTCTTACAAACATAATGTTTTCTTGCGCAAGAGATATATTTACACCAGAATAATACCTTATCTTTCTTATTTGCTTCTTTTGTTACTTTATCTTACCTAGTTTTTCTTTCCTTTTCTTGAGCTTGGCATGATTAATTTGTTAAAATTCCCGGTGATGGTTTTTCTATTGATTAACTGTAGTTCGATTAGAAAAGACTAACACAATTCCCTAACTAACCACTGTGTACAGCACAATGCTCGGAGCCTCAGCTAGTAGGCAATTGTACGGAGAAGCAAGCTGTATGGTCATTCAGTCAAACGGAGAACCGATGCGTGCCATTCTATTACACTGGGTGTAATGGAAATAACAACAGATTCACTTCCGAAGACGCCTGCACTGAAGCTTGCCCTAACGCTTTCGGTAAGTAGATGGTTTTAAGTAAATGTTGTATCACAAAATATCGCTGGAGAACCTCCACTACAGGGCGCGACTACTGCAGTATCTTGCAGACATTGCAACCAGGCTTAGAAATCTTATTTCATGAAGTTATCATAAAAAGTAACTTTGAATATAAAATACCATAAATATTAAATATTAAAAAATATGACATACCTTGCTCTTAACTTAAAAAAAGAACTAAAGCACTTGCCTAATGGAAATCGGAAACAACAACGGTACCACAAACACCCAGACCCGAGACAATGCCGGGGATCGAACCCGGGACACCAGAGATGGCGACAGCATGAAAATCGGTGAGCAGGCTTCTCGACCACGACAGTCGTCAAATATCTGATTATATTTCCAATAAATCTATGGATAATATCCAAACATCTGTCACTCTGTGTTTCTACAGGCCCATGCAGGTAAGGAAGATATTGATATAAACTTTTGGGTTATAAATCTGCATGTATCTGTACCTATTTTGATGTAGAATGCATTAACTTTTGTTAACTATCTCAACTTTAAAATGTTTGAACGGTATTTCGGAAGGAATTTAGACATCGAACAGTGAATACAATAGTGTATTCACTCAAAAAGTGTACTTTTCAGAATCGATGAGAAACAAATCACTCACTAGACTTGAAAGATTATTAAAATTTACGTAGTGTTTAAAGTTTATTACAGACATCTAAACAATCTCCTACTTGCCAAATATATTTAAAAATAAAATGAAAAAATATTTTTATAAAGTTCATATTTTGGGTAAGGAGAGTTTTCTCCACAACTAACTCACAGAAAGTTTATGTAGGGACAATACTACGCTATAGTATCGACGCCTAATTGTTTAAATAGGTAAATAAGTATGTAAAAGTTTTATTGGTAAGGATACAAGCTAGATGAGGTTGTGTATTTTTTGCGTTGTTGTTAAGTTGTTAAATGTCTAAATTGAATGTTCGTTAAACACTAATTTCATTGCCTACTTATGCGCACAGGCAGACAAGCGGCCGCGGGAAGCACCGTACAGTTGGTCTCATTTTGAGTTAAATAGATATCTCTCCTCTATCTATCTATCTAATTGTTTCTTACAACATTCTAACGAACGGTCTTATACAATACAATACAAATATTCTTTATTGCACACGCCCAAATGCTCAATAATACAACAAAGTAAAAATGACAGGTACAATAGGCGACCTTATTAGTACATAGCAATCTCTTCCAGGCGACCTTCAGGTTACAGGAAACGGTAAGATAAAATTAATTGAGGGCGCAACAGTATACGTATTACAGAATACGTACAACAGAATTAGTAAATACACATATTGCACATACACAAATGAAGAAAAACAAAATAAAATACTAAATCAATCCATGAAAAAATAATAATAAAAATAAAAAGGTTTTATAGACTTGTAGAGAATGAAACTTTACGTCAAGTTATAGTATAATCTTGAATTTCACATATTTCGAGTTACAACACCATTGTAATAGCAGTGCGATATCTTAACAAACATTGGCTATGTACAAAAACCGCTTCGAAATCAGTCTATTTGAAAGCTACAATGCCACAGGCAGACATACCAGACGCTTCAAACGTATGACTCCCGTGTTTATTGCATCTGGGGTTAAAAAAACAACCAACATGGTATAATTATTTGCAGTGCAAGATGTATGCTCACTACCAGCATTAACTGGCGACTGTGCCGACTACAGGGAGAGATGGTACTATGACACTTCTATTAAGAGGTAAATATAATTTTTCTTACTTTGTTTTATTTTATTTACTCATATTACATTCGTTTATCTAGGTACTTGGCACTCTTAAGCCTAAAAAGATTTGTTTGGGTATTGCTCTATTTATACAAACATAACCTTATACTTACAGGTTTAGTCACAAATAATAAATAACAAGAAAAACAATAACGTGATATTTTAAATTTATTAACAGACTCCGTGCCGAACGTTTACCGCGCTGGTCTGCTACGCAGAGATCCTAGGTTCGATTCCCGGGTATTTGTTTGGCCTATATTTATTTCTTTCGTGAGTTTGGGTGTAATTTGTGGTTGTCTATGTGTGTCCATGGCACCTGCGACACAGGGTTTCCATTTGGGCTATGTTGAGTGTGTGCGTTATTATTATTAATGAATAAATTTAATACTCTTAATATACTTTATATTAACATTTTGATAATCGTTACAAATAAAAACAAAAAAGTCAGAACTTTATACTAACGCTATATTTAAAATAATGCTTAAAAACATCTGGTCTCACATTGCTCACTAAAGAAACTACCAACCAGCTTAAGAATGTTTGCAATTGAAGTAAAATTATTCGTCTTTATAATAAAATTAAAAAAATAACTTTATTGCAGAATACAGAAAAATATGTACAGAGATGTGCTTAGCTCCCAAACTAGGATCCCTGTACTATGAGTAGCTAGGTCTTAGGTCTGTGAAGTGTGTCGCCGCAAAATAAAAATGATAATAACAGCAATAATAAACATAAAATATTATTGGTAGAACACCGAAAAAGAGGTTTATGGCTTATGGTGGTCTTCCGAAATTGCCTTCTAAGAGCGAACGCGATGCAGTAGCGATGCAGTCGCTAATCGTTCACCTTTACACACACGCGCGATTTGCAAGCGCACGACTTCATCGATGCAAACGCGCGATTGCATCGGTACTCTTGGGATTTGTAGCCGATTGCATCGATGCAGTCGCGCGGCCTATAAATCGCAAGTGTAGCTACTCAATGCTCAAGTCAGGACTTGAGTATGATTTCAAGCACTGGAAATACGACCCTAATGACAAGGACTTGAGTATGATTTCTAGTAGAGTTCTGGAATAAGACCCTAAGAGGTTTAAAACCATAGTGAAACAAAAACTTTACGCTGCTGCGTCTTGGATTACAAAAATCTATGGTACTGACTCGTTTCATTCTTGCTGTTGTCTCGATCTATGATATTTGAAATAAATATTGAAAAAGAAAATATGTAAAATTATTCTACGTGCTGTTCCACGTCTTTTTTTTTTGGTGTTTAACGACTTTTTTGCCGTAGCGTCATCTATGAGAAATCTATTTCTTCACTAGCCATGTAACTTTTACAGCTATTGGACATATCGCTTTAATAATTGTAATTTTTAAAATATTAAATGTCACGATGTTTGACAAGCATGATATTCAGTTGTTTTTGTGAAATTACTCCACTACGTTATTATAATCGAGCTTCATGACTAACGTATGACGAACGCAAATGTGGCGTCGCCGCTCCAATGGACTCAGATCCGTTCATTTCTACACAAGATGCAAGCACTTTTGCCGGATTAGGCGATTTTTCGCCATTTAGGCTACTTTGAGAGGTCACGCGGCGACTAAAAAAGTGATCGGCGACTCGGTGTTATTTAGGTTATGTTTGAAATAGGAAAAGGCGATTTTAGGCTACTTAATAAAATGTCTGGGGAATTACAAATTTTATTGGGGATTTTGTGAGGAATGGAGTTATAAAATAACTCATCCGAGAGTTTGATTATTTCTACGTATGGGGCATTATTGGGGAAATAAGAAAGTTCATATTCCCCAATGTCCAGCAGCAAGCAGAATTATAGCTTGGACGAATGTCGGCTACTTAACACACATAAATTGGCAAATAACTTCGCAAAAGGTCTGGCAACACTGGATGCAAGCATGCTGCACGCAAGCGTAAAATGACAATAGCGTGCGTATGATGTGCAGTCTATGTGAACAGTAGGTCTACGACTAGGATAAATGAATCAATATGAAGATTTCAAGTATAATTTGCTTACCTATGAAGTAAAGATTGTTTGAGTTTGAGTTTTATGAAACAGATGTCGTCAATTCTACTTCGGCGGATGTGGCGGCAACGGTAACAACTTTGCAACGGAGCCGGAGTGTGAAAATCGCTGCAACGAGGACATGCAAACCACCACGGTCATTACTACAATCGCTACACAACCGCAGCCCGAGCCTTTCAAATCAGGTGCCATATAGCTTACAAATTATTTG